TCTGATTTCTCTCCAGTCCCCATGTCTGATTTCTCTCCACTACCCATGTCTGATTTCTCTCCAGTCCCCACGTCTGATTTCTCTCCAGTCCCCATGTCTGATTTCTCTCCAATACCCATGTCTGATTTCTCTCCAGTCCCCACGTCTGATTTCTCTCCTTACCACTAGTGCCTGACACAGAGTACAAACATGCTCTCTCTGACTCTCCAGATCCTGTCTCCTGCAACAGCCACATGTCCTTTTCTCTACAAATGTGACAAACCAAACAGCTGAATAAATCTAAGGATCTGTAAAAACACATCAACCAGGAAAACTGAACATAACAGAAAATTAAAATGCATAGAATGGGTAAGAAAATATGGAAATAGAAGAATCCCCATTTAGTAGTTGAGGGCTCTAGGTCTACTTGGAACAGGTCAACTCCCATCTCCAAGGACGACTTTGTGACCTGGGGCAAGTTGCATCAGCTTCTATTTCTTAATTTGAAAATAAAGATAATAGAATTTTCTAGGGTACAAGGTTGTTAAGAGGACTGACTATAATAATGCAAACAAAGCACTTGGCCCAATGTCCGATCACTAACACGTATTCAATAAATGAATAATACTATAATTATCATCATTAGTACGAAAAGGTAACCACATACTTATGTCTAACAGAAGGCCACAGAAACGCAACTGGAAAAATATCAGAATTTAGAATTTCTGCCCTTATCATGCAGATTAATCCTTCATATCACAATCATGTTCCCAGAGTAAGAGAGTTACAATTTTTCTTTAGTTTTTCCAGAAAATCATCTTTCGATACGAAATAAACTTTAAAAGAAGACACTGTCTTGTTTTACAAATTCTTGTCTCCCAAGCAGCACACCCTCACAATTCTTTTCCAACACACAGGTACACTTCAGTAAGTACATCTGTACTAATAAACATGAGGTAACTACTTCATTTATGTGCAAGTCTGATTGTGCCTTAGAGGGTGAAAGGGTACTCAGAGCTTTCGCTCATCAGAGGACCGTGACCCAGTTCAGGCAGCTCAGAAGCAATTTATACAACCCAGCATCTGCCACATTCAGACAATTGTTTGGCATTCATAATTTTTTTTCCATATTAAAGAAACCTTGTGTCTCAGCTATTTTTACATTGTTTATCCCCACTCCTTGAAGAAAGGAGCTTTAGGATCAGCAGCTGATATTGGAAGATAATTCACTAAAACTTAGTCTTAGCAGGGGCTAAGCCCCTTGTAAGCATGCTACCTTAAGCTCTCAGATGTCTATGAGATAGGAGGTTTAACTGCGTTTCAGTAGAACTGGAGAAAGAGGAAAGAAAACAGCACTCTATTTCCCTCCAATAAAAAGAAATAGCTATTTTGTTCAGAAACAGTTATTTTTTGAAACGGGCACTACAGACCTGAGTCCATAAAGGACTGTGCCATCTGGATGCAGGCGGATCATGCGGTTCTTAACAGTCACTCCGTGCACAAACGACTTCTTATCATTCAAGAAGTAGGTGTCAGGCACCCAGAGCTGGTCTGCCACTCTGTTGTCCAGAGTCAAGTTTAAAGGTATTACATTGTAGGACAGCCTCTTATCTCTCCAGGCTTGCTGAAAGTACATTGTCAAGGTATAATCCTGCGGATATAAAGAAAAAGAAATGATTACTTTGTACCCAAACAGACTTGAAGGATTAGCAAACACCTTAGTATTAATAAGAAGAAAAACAGATATGTGGCCGCATGGTATAAACATATACTAGACACATATAGGCAAATATTAATTTATTAAACCCATTCTTACTAAGCACTTGCTGTATGTCATGTCAGGTACTTTGGAAGGAACTATGAATACAGAAGTGATGAAGAAAATACACCTACATATATTTTCCAGCAAAGATGTAAGAAATAATTACTCAATAATTACTTCGTGTTTCCCAAAGTAGAGTCTGGGGGAGTGTTTTAGGTGAGACGTAAACACAACTGAATAAACAGCTATGCATTTGTGTTTATGTGTAACCGAAAAATTAAGTGGAACATCAAACCAAATATTTCATGAATTCATTGTTCTATTCACTCATTCAATAAATGTTTCATTTGTATCTAATATTCAGTAAGTACTGTAGAAGTGCTGAGATGAAAGTGGTAAACAAGACAGATCAAATACCTGTTCCATGGGAATTTATAAATAAGACATAGATAAATCAACAGAATAATGTCAAATAATGCTATAGTACATTCTATGATGCAAATAAAGCAAGGTTTATGTAGCAGGAATGGTGGAGGAAAAAAAGGAAGGAGTTGCCACTGTGCTGAGATCAGATAACGAAACCTAGCCATTGGCTCTCAGGAGAATAAGATTCCAAGCAGAGCAGAATTGGTCCTAAGGCAGAAATGGGCTCAGTCTGTCTGAGGAACAGAAAAGAGACCTGCTCTTAGAGCCTAGTGACACAGAGGGGAAGGAATAGAGCGGTCAGGAAAATCAGCCTCATGGAATTTACAGCTGAGCAGGGAATGTGTTTAAGGTAGTTTGTTACACAGTGATTAACTTATTAGTGTAGTAATTGTGAGGGTTTGTAAATGAGAACGGGACCAGTCCAAATAAGATGAGTGTCCCAGGGGGGCTGACGTTCATATTTATGTAAGTTTCCACGATATCTAAACAATTAATTCAGTCAGGGTATCATGAGAATTCCAATACCATACTTATGAATAAGCAGGCTGGGCTTTCAGAGTTTTAGAAATAATGGGCTGCTATAAAGTGGGCACTTGTCTTGGAGTCCCAACTCTGCCATTTCTTAACTCTGTTGCTAGGATGTAAATGTGCATAACTTCTTTTGTTTCAGTTCTATTAACCATAATCGAGTTTTTCATACCTGTACCTGCCTAATTTACTCAGAAGATTATTATGAAAATTAAATGTGTAACTCAGATACAGTTTGTAAACTACAAAAAGCTACATAGTATGAAGAAAGAATTTACATACATAGTGTAACACAGTCTGGGTTAGAAGCCTATGGGTACAATGTAATTGCTCTTTGACCCTTACTTGAATGACTAAGTAAGAAAAGGTCCAAATATTCATTTGAAAAGGATAATTACAATTCTGCTTAAAAATCAGTTCACAATGGTCTACTTGAGGGCTCAAAAAAAAAAAAATAGAATCATGTGTTAATTATCTCTGCAACATGAAAGGATAGCATAGTTCCTAGGGCATAAATTGTGAACGAACGAATGAATGAATGAATGACCAACAAGATATGCCTATTGGATGTCTGCACATATCCAGATACACTTGTATATAGAATATGTCTCAATCTCCATAAATTCCTAAATCTTTCCAATATTCATTGAGATTTAAGTAGTCCACTTGGTTATATCATTTTAAAATATGACTCATAAGATATTATCTGCTATAACACTGAACAATTTTCATAGAAAAAGTATAATTCCTCTATAAAAAAGCAAAAATTTCCCCTAACTTAACAAATATACATTTTTACATTATTCAGGAATCAGTGTAAGACCTTCTAAATTTACAATGAAATTTCTACTCTACCAAAAGATATATTAACATCCTAAAGGTAGAACAAATAATTATTGGTGAAATTCACTTCAGTGGATCATTTTTATCAGTGCTTTGGATGGTTCTGCAGCACTTTGCTTTAGTAAAAAATTAGTCTGAGGCTCTCTAGAGGAATATCTTAACTTATAAGATTCAAGAATTAGATAACTAGAAATTGGAAAAAGGATGGATGTATTTTTTGTGTGTTTCTAAATTACAAATAACCCAAAAGTAGGACATAGAAATAAAATAAGCAATTGATAATTGTGCTTAAGAGAATACATTTAACAATTTCTAATTATTTGAGATAAAAATGAAAATTTGGTCACTATCTTTTTTAGAAGATAAAGCTACTTATGCCTCTTTGAGATTTAGGAGATACAATAGTGTTTGGAAGGTGCTGAAGCTTACCAATCAGCTAAAATGTGTTTGGACACAGAAAATTATATTCTCTTTGGAGCTAAGTAAATGGTAATATTGTGAGCTACTGTATTGCATGCTAACTCCTGTTATTTGTCCACATGGCAATGCCTGCTAAGAAATGCTCCCAGACAGACTCTGGTGATTCTGCAAACTGTCACATCAATTTTCATTTCATTTATTTTTAAATTACACATCATGACACTGTCAAGAAAAGGAGACGCTCCTGAACCTAAATAAATATTATGGGACATATAAGTAAAGTGTGGTCCTAGGTTCAACCCTCTCCCCTAGGCTCTTAACCACCTGGAATAAATCCTGTGAAGTTTCATATTGAGAGCATATTCTTTACATTTACCAACACAGCCACCCGTCAAGCTAAAAAGCCCAAAATAAACCACTCTGGGTGTTCTACAATCCATGTCATCACTTCATCAGAAGGATGTGAATAATCAAAATTAACACCAACTGATTTTCAATACTAAGCAGGAAGAAGTAAGCCCACCGCAGACTACTGCTTCCACCAATAATCATGAAAAACTCTGAAAGAAATAAAGCAAATATACAAGGACTTTGCAAAGTGAAATATAGTAGTGGATTGAGTATGAATCAAAACATAAGGAAGACAGCTCCAAGGCTGAGTTACTTGCTTT